ATATTTTAATGCTAAAAAAGTATCGATAAATTCATCAGAGACGTGCATATGGGTTAGCACTGGAATATTAAAAAAAAAACATGTGCGCCACTGACTTTTTTTAATATCAAAATTGTGTAGGCCGTTTAATGCCAATTAAAAGTTATACCTTGATATTTTCTCGAATTCGTCCTCCTTGATGAGATAAACCCAATTTTATCAATCACAAATATTAAAATAAAAATAAAATTAATAAATTATATATTTTACCTAATTTATTATTAAATATTATTACTATTAGTTATTATTACTTTAGTCCAACATACAGCAATTTCAAATAAAAAAAAGGTATTTAAGATAATTACAAAAAACTTAATTTTAAAAAGATTTAACATCCTGTAAAACTATGCATTCCCATTTTGCATACTCATCTTTATAGAAACTTTTTTTTATATTTTTTGATGAGGAATCAATGAGTACTTATTTAAAACTTTCGCCAGTTAATGATATTAAATGTTTTTAAAGGTTCCTATTCGACTTGGATCAAGACAAATTAATAAAATTGCGTTTATCTTATCAAGGAGGCCGAAATCGAAAAAATATCAAAAGACAATTTTTAATCGGCCTTGAACCGCTTACACTATTTCGCTAACAAGAGAAAAAAGTTTGTTTTTTATATGTTTTTTTTTTAGAAAAATATTCCAGTGATATTAACCCATATGCGTCCCTGGCGAATGTCGACACTTTTTGAACTTTAAAATATGTCACATTTATAGTAACTTTTGCCCCCAAAATTTAATTCGAAACGCTAAAAGTACTTGGAAGAAAATTATAATAAATCGAAAAAATATTAAGACTTTAACACCCTGTAGCTACGAAACAAAGCAGAATCGGACCTATGTTGATATGAAAAATAAATCTTATTTTTACGTGAGGAATCTCTCCACGAGAGATGGCACACGTTTTTGAAACACCCTGTATAATTAATTTTTCTAACTAAATATCTTTTTATAACAATTATTTAAATAATTTTGAAAATTAGACTATTTTACTCTTGGTAAATTATTTACATTGTTCGTGTATACCAAAAAATATATTGAAATATTTAATAGTTTATTAGCATTGCAGATTTCCGAGATGTAGAAACTTATATCAAAATTAAAAATGTATGAGAAACTTTTTTCGCATATGCCTCATATCTGGAACACACTGTATATACTAATTTTACAGAATGTGCTTCATATTTTTTTATTTAAATTTTTACTATTTCGATGGATAAAAATAGACTAATAATTGTATTAGTAATACCGCTAATGCAGTAATTTGGTGAATTTTTATTGATGACCAATTTATATTAGTCCATCGACATTATTTGTTATGGAAAGTGATATGCTACCTTTTAGAAATAAAATCTGCGATAAAATTGCTTAGAATTTGTTGTAGTAAATGCTTAAGTAAATGTGCCATCAGCTTAAAGTATACATACGTAATTTATGTAACATACAGGGTGCGTATGAAAATTAGTATTTTTAAACTATATTATCAAATGAGTCTGTATTCAATATTATTATCCAAAAATAAATCCGAAGAAGAGATATATTGGTGCCAAAATGGAATGTGTTATTTAATTTCATCAGCACCTTGTATATTATAAGATAGTATTAAATCAATTTTATACCCTCTATAAATTTTAGGCAGATAGTGTTAACCTATATCTAGAAAGATGTATTATATTCGATGTACATGTATATATTGTGCGTTTTCTAATAAAGATTGTTTTTTAGAAAATTTGTTTCATTTACATTATGCAAAATGATATTTTGTATTACAATGCTTAGTTCTGTTCAGGTTAAACAGTTGAGCTCTACAGGGTGTAACAATTGCGAGCAACAGTTGTTTTAAATTTTATGTATAATAATATAAAGATAAATAATTAAAGAATATATTTTATTATTAATAAATAATATAGAGGTAGGTGCTTTCCCTTTACCAATATTTTTTTTCTTTGCCAACAATAGACAGGTCTTTGTGGACTTTCTCAGGTCTATTGTGGTCCTCTTCTGATCCTTAGGTTACATTTTCCTGTCCTATCCTTTTCACAAAGTCTAGCAACTTGGAGACTGAATCTTCCATGAAGCTCCCTCCAATGGCCTATGATTGCCTGTTACCGAGAATCGCACATTTGCCATGCAGGCTGTCACACCGACATAAAATGTGTTCCATCGTTTCTTCTTCAGAAACATGGCTTCGTTCGTCAACCCCATTAGCTTTAGATGCCTATTCAGCTTACAGTGTCCTGTTAGTAGACCCACTACAGCTTTGACTGTCTTTCTGTCCTTGCTTATCAGGTCTACCGTGAATATTGGGGAATGTTCTACTAAGAACTTTTTCGCCTGTCTCTACCCTGGTGAGTTTCTCCACCATAATTGGAAATGGTTGAATAAACTGAAACTGATGATGATTTCTTTCCTTCTATACATACTGCCATTACTCGCTGACGAGTATTCGACACGCATCAAAAGATGGTCACGCAAGGCATTTTCTTTCATGAGTTTTTCTGTGACTGAAAAGCCCGATACGTGATGTTATTTGCCTACCGCACTCCGGACATTCGAAAATCTCATTGCTTTGTTGCCTCTTTACTTTTTAGTTGTCGCTGTTAACTGAGTTTACAATTCTTCTCCATTGAGTTCTATTGTGAACTGCTTCTTCCCAATGATTCTGCATGTTCTTCCCAATCATTCTGCTTCCCAATGAAGTTTTCGTGGAAACCCCCCTTTAAGTTTTCGTGGTTTCGCTTCCCCCCCTTTAAGTTTTCGTGGAAAATGTCCTTGTACCTTTTGAGTTGTCCACCCGGCCTCCTCTTACCGGCTACAAGCTCACCGTAAAGCAGATATTTTGGTATGCGGTTTTCTTGCATTCTGCATACGTAACCAGCCCATCTTAAGCGGGATTTTGTAACCATGACTTCAATACCTACTCTCGCAGTTAGTTCAAGGACCGATACGTTTGAGACATGATGGAACAACCGGATTCTTAAGAGTTGTCTAAGGTGTCTCTGTTGCAACTTGTTTAATGCGTTCATGTGTCGGCGGTACGGCACCCAGGTTTCGCTCCCATATAACATTGGGGATTATAATTGCTCGGTACACTGCAAGTTTCGTTTTTGTACTCAAGTCATGATTGTAGAAAACCCTGTCTTTTAATTTCCAGAATGCTATTGAGGCGCTACTAATCCTGTGCTGAATTTCAGAGTCATTATTGGCCCTTTCCGAAATCAAACTGCCAAGGTAATTCAATTCCGCCACATATTCCAATAGTACTTCTCCGATTTTTATAGCATTGTTGTGATCTTCCGGCGGAGCGCACATGATTTTAGTTTTATCGATGTTCATGTATATGTGTTCAACATTTCTTGCATTGCTGTAACGTATTTGTAACTAGAGCACAGTCATCAGCGTATTGAAGTCTGTGATGAATTTTGTACGTGTTTTTGCCTCAAGTCTTTTTATGTTGAACAGACCGCAGTCATATCTGTATCTAATGCCCAATTCTCTCTCCTGCAGTTTGCTTCCTACTATAATACCACTATAAGTCTTTCTTTATAATATTATATTTAAATAGTAATAGCAGTACTAAAATATTTCTACATAAGCTATTTTCTGTTTTATAGTCGTGTTCCTGGGGTCGAATTATAATACCCCAAAAAAATATAGGCATTTTTAAAACTCACCCTGTATGTAACAGAAAATGTCCCAGAATAAAAATTTGGGAGTAATAAAAAGTTACATAACAATAACAGATATGATTCCAGGTATACTATTTACAACACAACTTATGCAACTACTATTACTCTAACGGTATTTCGCGGTATTATCAAACTTCAGACTATCTTCAGACTTCAGACTTCAAACTTGTCCAACTGTCAAAGCGCGGGCCTTATATACCCCCTGGCGGTTGTTTCTAGATTTTTCTAAAGAATTCTATAATTTTCTTTACTTTCTGGCGAATGCGCCAGGTTCCTCAATGCACGTTGCAATTCTTTAGCAGTATGCAGTTATGCAACCAGTAATACACCTTGACACTATTATAATCCGTAAATAATACTATTTGCTAATAAATTGAATTATATACATGGTTGTCCGAATTGTATTCGGAAAACGTCTGCAGCATATTCTGCAGATAAAAATAAGTAAAAAAGTTCATATAAATGAATGTCCTTCGTTTTGGAGATACAGAGTGTAGAAGTTTTATTTTTATTTCTTTTTTTTCTAAATAATTTCTGGACAAACTGCCATATATGGATGAAAATTGGTGTCTGGGTATTTTTTGACATGAGAAATTAGATTTTGATGTTAATATGCCTCCTACTTGATTATGACTAGATCTAGGGGACCACCTACATGATTTTTAACTATTCTGAAGTGTAATAACTAATTATATTTTAAGAGTAATAACTTTTCGTCCGTACCTGTATAAAACTACTCAACCTACCCTGTAAAAATCTACACGCGTAATGGTTCTCGAGATATCTGAAATCCAATTTATCAATACCTGTCATCAATAAATATGTTGACTAAATAGTTGTTAGAATGAAATAATAAATTTGAAATGATTTTGTGTCAAGAGTTCAATAGAAACTGTTTTATCCTAATTCTTTCGAACTGTTTTATCCTAATGAACTTTCTACACTCTGTATCCCCGAAACGAAGCATTTTAGGAGATAAATTTATACGAACTTTTTTCTTATCTGCAGAATATGCTGCCAAAGTTTCCCGAATACAATTCGGACCACCCTGTATATGCCCGACGCATTGTTACGCTACTGTAATCGCAAAACATTTTCTGATGCACGTCATCAATCATATCGACATTGACACTAAAGTCTATAAACCTGAGAACTAAATTTTCGAGTTATTGTATTGCATTTCTTGAAATTGTGTTTTGAAAATATGCCGAAGCGTTTAAACAGTCGAAACAAAGAGCTTGTAGCTTCCATGATAAACTATTTTGAACGAAAACGTGACAATAAAAGTAAGTTTGATTGATAAGCACACTATACCATTTTCAAAGTTAGTTTTTATTAAATTCTGTGATTATTAGTTTGTGCATTAATAGCACCCTCTTGTTATTACCATTTATGGCGTTGTAAGATGTACCATCAATAAAAAAATAAATAACCCATAATAACGCTTAGAATAATCTTCATAATGAACTAGTTTTTGCCAATATGTAATAAGTAAAATAAGTTATAAAACAAATAAATAAATTAATTACTAAAATATTAGTTATTAAATTAAAAATAAAAGTAAAAATCTTTAAAAAATGATATAACAAATAGATTGTTTGTCACTTTTAAATTAAGATTCATCTCATAAATCCATCACAATCTGGCAGCGCTGTCGCCATCGTTTGTCACTCAAAATTGATGACGTGCATCGGTAATTGTTTTGCGATTACCATATAGTTTTATTTCCCACATCTAAAACTAAAAAGAAAACAATTTGTCATAAGAGATTATAATTATTAAAAATATTTCAGGTTATCCAGAAAGTATATTGGATAAAGTAGAAGAGTATAGCCCTCACATGATGACAGTCTTACGAGAAACTTCGCAAAATAATGAAGAAATGCAGACGGAAATAATACAAGCTGTTGTTAAAGATGAACTGAGCATAGAGTCTGAATCGGCTACGGATATTGCTGCCCAACCAAACGAAGAAACCTAAAATGCTTTATTTAACAAAACATACAACTGTTTAATATAATCTTTATAAAAACTATATTGTTCCAAATCAATTTTAAAGCACATTTAAAGACTCTTAATTACCTAAAACCTCTATTGGCTGATTATTATAATCCTTTCTACTCGTTTAAAAAAAAGTAAAAGATGTGCGTTTTCATAGAAATAGGGAAATTCAAACAACTTTTGTTGCACATCATTAGTGACACCATGCGTCGTCTTATGGAGTTTGTTGGTGGTCGTATTATGATGTGCAACCAAAGTTATTTTAATTTCCCCATACAGAATTTCGTTTTTGATATTAGACTTTGAAATCATACACGCAAGGGATATGAACGCCCCCAGACGTTGATGCTTGAAATATTTACGAATAATTTACATTTTAAGAAAATAAAACATAATATATAAAATTTATCTTTTAATAGTAAATATTCTTAACAAACACGATTTACTTAAATCCCATAACATTAAATATTTTAAAACACTAACAATAAAAAAATCACAATATTGCACTGTTGTTCTTAATCTAAACCACAAGATAGATAAGCTGATTTTAAATAGACCCTATATATCTAGAATTTTGGCAAAATAAAAGTGGCATTATTTAAAACACATACAGTAGTTCAGTAAAAATAATTCAGCCATTTAACCTGAGATTTTTTTGTTCTAATATGATTTAGTTATATTATTAACTATCCAGTTAAGTTTGGATACATGGAAGACAGATCAATAAATACAATATACAAATTAAAATAACAAATATCGTTATTCGTCGTCATCCTCTCCTAACTGTTTATTGATTTCCTGTATTCTGGCAGTTTTCTCTGGACTGTCTGTTTTTTTAAGCCACTCTTCCTTTTCCTTTTTAAGTTCCAATCTACTTGTGAAATTTAATTCGGAAAATTCCCAGTTACCTTGACCATCAAACTGAAGAATGTGAGTGTGGAATTTCCTAAAATAAAAAATAGTTACTTTAAGAATTAAAAGTTAATAAGTAATCGGTCTTTTAAACCCTCTCCTGTGGTCGAGTAAAACATCCACCCAAACAAAGCTAAGGATTTACAAAAAAAAAGATCGTAGAGCCAATTCTAACATACGGCGCATATGCCGAGCACATTATAACAGCGTCGACAACATTGAATCGAGACAGTTACTATGGTATGGGCACATAAAAAGAATGGGAGAGGAAAGATGGCCAAAAAGAGCTAACTACGTGGTTACGCATGGAGTACACCAGTACATGAGAGATAGAGCTCTTTAAGGACGAATAATGGCAAAACCGTACGATATGGAGGTCGAAATGGGGGATACGGCAGAAGTTGTAGGGCCCCCGCTTTATACAAGGTGTCCCAGAAATAAGTGCAAGTATTTTAACTGGTAGTATAGTACAACCCCAGAAACATGCCTATGAGTTTTTTTTTCGCAAAAAAAAATATTGAAAATTCGGAATTTTTTGAACAAATTTTTGGAATTTTTTTTAGTTTTTTATTACTACTAAGTAAAACTAAGTAAAATAACTCCGTTATTTTTGAAAAACGATACAGAGAATAAAGAGAACACATATTTGAAAAACGATAAAGAGAAAATGTGTTTCTTTTCTCGAGATCTACCACCTCTTAAAATACTTGCACTTATTTCTGGGACACCCTGACAGGGTCGCTGATATGAATGATGGAACGGTCGATTATTAGGTAAATATCGCAAAAAGTTAAATATAAAAGTTATTGGGCCCAGGCTGAGCGTGCATTAGAAGTTTCTAGAGAACCATAATATCTAGATCGAAAATTTTTTGCATATTACTGTTTCACAAAGAGATCTATCGATTAAAAATATTTTCAATATGGCGGCACTTCCGGAAATACCGGAAGTTGACAGCAACTTTCTTATTTTAAATGGGTACCCCCATTTTTTATTACATACTTAAATTCTCTGTAAAATTTTGTGAATTTTGATCTCAAACACTCTATACCTAACATTAACCGTTTTTGAGAAGAAAAAAAAATAATATTTTTGGAGGAAAAAAACTGTCTGTCAAAAAAAATTGTATAGCCTAAACGTCAAATTTAGCGATTACCACAGCCACTGGGACAAAAAGAGAAGACATGTGGCTATCTATTTCAAAAATTAAAATGTTCAAATGTCATATAGTATTGGCCGTAGCTGTCATAGAATTGATAAACTTAATTGAACGATTAAAAAATTATCATAAATCATTTTTTTTTAAATGGAAACCCACTTTTTTTCACTAGTGAAAAGGTTTTTTAATTCGTTATTTTTTGATTATACATATTCCTATACCTAAAAAAAAGTTATTTAAGATTTAGTTTTAAAGCGTAATTTGTTCTTGATTTTAGTTAGCTTCCTTTGACATTGTGTCAAACCATCAGACAATTTATTTCCTTCTGTCAAAAAACTAATTATTTGAATTTCGTATAGTATTATAAATACTGCTGGTAAAACTTTATAGTGTATTTATAAAAATATATCTCGTATTTTAGTGATAGCTAGTGGCAATATGACATTGATAGATATAGTTTTACATCGCGAGACGTTTAAAGGCTTAGGCTACTGGTTAAAAAAACAAAAAAATATACCCTTTAAAACTAAATTTTAAATAACTTAAAAACCATTTATTTTAGGTATAGGAACATGTATAATCAAAAAGTCACGAATTAAAAAACCTTTTCACTAGTGAAATAAAAAAAGTGGGTTTCCATTTAAAAAAAATGATTTATGATAATTTTTAATCGCTCAATTCTATGAGAGCTATGGCCATGATTATATGACATTCGAACAATTTAATTTTTGAAATAGATAGCCACGTTTTCTCTTTATGGCACAGTGGCTGTGGTAATCACTAAATTTGACGTTTAAGCTATACCCATATTTTTGACAGGCAGTTTTTTTTCGTTCAAAAATTTTAAATATTTTTTTTCTCAAAAACGGTCAATGTTAGACATAGAGTGTTTAATATCAAAATTCATAAAATTTTACAGAGAATTTAAGTATGTGATAAAAAATGGGAGCACCCATTTAAAATAAGAAAGTTGTTGTCAACTTCCGGTATTTTCGGAAGTGCCGCCATATTGAAAATATTTTTGATCGAGATCTCGTTGTGAAACTATGACGTGCAAGAAATCTCCGAGCTAGATGTTGTAGTTCTCTAGAAACTTCTAATGCACGCTCAGCCTGGGACACCCTGTACATCAATTTAGATATCATAAAGCCGTGGCACATTTCATTTTTTTAAATGGAACCCCCTGTAAATTATTGCATATTTTGGTTCTTTCTTCAATTCTAAGCAGAAATCGAGATACACACAATGTACCTTAAACCAACCGTTTTCGAATTATTAACTTTTGAAAATGTCACTTAACCAATTCAATTTAACTAATTTCGATGTGTTCGGTTTCATTTAACGATGCCATTCTGCGGAAACTGTGACATTTAATAATATTTGACATTAGTTTTCAAGTTAGCATTTATAGATGTATAAAATGAGATTATATCAAGTCTGGAAATTACAAAATTTTCATTTAACAACTCAAAATCAAAACTTCATGATTCGGAAATTGTTGAATTTAGGTACATTATGTGTATTACAATTATAATTACTCCTCCCCCACGTCTCTTAGCAATATGCACAGATTCTCGGTTTATTTCACACGTTTGGCAATGTTTTTACTCTTCCCTCTTTGTTCACTATATTATAAACGCATTGTACTCTTTTTATATACAGAAATCTCGACCCAAAACTAACCGTTGCCACCCTTTAGTATACAAGGTGGCGCACCTCATTCGCCTCGGCTAACTATACACAAACGGAAAGATTTTTTGAAATGTACAGGGTGTGTCAGAACCATAGACTTAAAATAAAATACAGACTGAGCATCTCATTCATAAATAGCTGGAAAGTGTGGTCAGACAATATCTTGTTATTGTTGTGTTATTGTTTTAGGCTCTAACGAGTGCGACACGGGCGATAGATAGGTTGTCTTCGTCGTAACGGTCGTTCCCTGACGACTCTGACGAAGAATGCAACACTGTCTTTCGTTCCTTAGTACACCTGAACTCTCCGTACCATAGCCGGGTAATTTTTTTATTTTAATGAAGCTATAATTCAATTAAAAATATATCGTATTTAACTTTTTTATATTTTATTAAGATTTAGGAGAGGTCTTTTAAATAAAAGTTTAGAAAAAAACGTCCAAAAACGATGACATAAATTAGGATTGATTGACACATTCAATTGTTTTTGGTCACTTCCTGTATCATCGGAAATGACTATAACTTCTGATTTTTAAATGGCACCCTAGGTATATCTCTACTTTATTCGATAGAAAATGACACGCTGAATAGAATGACATATCATATGTCAACTTTTGGCATTTTCTCATATGGTTTAATTGAAATTGTAACACGCGGTTTAACTACAATTGGATTCGAAATACCAAGTATCAAATATTCATAAATTATTGACGGTGATTATTCTTTAGCCTTATATATATATTTTTTTTTAGTTGTTTCTCGGGTCTGGTGGCTATGGTTAGATTAAAACAATAGTTTTTCTACGACGTTTCGCATTTATTGTGTAACTCTTCTTCAGTTTTTTTCCCTATGGTCTTTCCTATGTCTACAAAACAATTTTAAGTCAATAAATATTCATAACATTAAAACAAATATAAAAACAAAAGCACAAAAATTAAAATATTGACACATCATATTATCTTACCCAGTTAAAAGTGAACAATGTATATTCATTTAATTATATAATACCATCCATTCAATTATGTATTAAAATAAAATCAAAAAATATTAAAAGATATTAAAAAACATTAAAAAATATTAAAAAATAAAAAAGTGATAGCGTACCTTGGAGTGTTTAATACTGTTTCTTTACTGATACTAATACTCATAAATAAATGCTTTTTCGAAATATGCTAATGAGTCACCCTTGTTCCATTTGAAAAAATTGACATATGATTAAAAATACGATTTGTACATCTTTTAACCGGCCTAGACAAGACACGAAAAACATTAGACGGTCAAAACTATTTTTCCAAGGCTCCTTGATTAAAACTTAGTGTTTTTAACACCGCCATGGCATCCTGGATTGAAATTTAAAATACGATTGGTTTTTAACCGACAATGACAAAAGTTGACATATGATATTCATTCTATTAATAATAATTAAAAATAATTAATTTATGTCATATACTAACATACAAATCTGTTTTTTTTATTTGAAAAAATAAAAAAGTTATAGGGGTGAGCCACTTTTGAGACGCACCCGGTATATTAAAAAATAATGTGTCATAATGTAATATAATTTTAAAATTGTTATTTTAGATTCTGAAGATAAAGAAGTTTTAGAATAAACCGGAATATATTTTTAATAAAAACATGATTAATTTTTTAACCGATGCCTAATATAATTTATCTTGTATAATAACAGGGTTATAATTATGATTTTTTTACAAACACTTTTATATACTCTGTTTTTTTTCTCAGGTAAGATTTCGACAGACGATGACAGAAGAAAAGCAGATGACGTCCCATACCAATCTATTTATTTTACTAAAAAAAGTTTCTAATAATTTTTAAGTTATCTATGGATGGGTTTAAATATAAATCCGTCATGCGTCGTGTCTTGTTGTTTTTAACCAGTTTTATTGGTTTATTTAAAAAATGACAGATCGTATTTCAATTTTATTGGTTTGACGGAAAGATGAACGACAAATGGACGCCGATGCGTATGAACAGGCCTTTAGATTTTTGTCATTTTTGACGTTTGTCAAAGTCTTGCCAAATTATAGGTTATAATTTTGTGTCAACTTTTGTTAAATACCCTGCGTTTTGGAAGATGATGCATTTTGATTTGTATTATTACGCGTGTTTTGTGTCTTTTGAAGTCAAGTGGAGGGAAAATCGAGTGAAAATTAACTGTAGACCCAGAGCACAGTTTATGGTTAATACTCGCCAGGCAGAAAGTCTTATACACCAATGAAGTTGCCATCGATAAAGTTTGTATACCATTTCGTCGTAGATAAGTGCATCTCGTATAATATGGTAGAAGGATCAAACTAAACACATACTAAAAACTGAGTAGCTGTAAAATATCGACATCGCACGATAGGTAAATAATGGATTTTAGTACTGCAGAAAAATGATGTCAAAAGGTAGGTACTGGTATATTCCTGTGGAATATTACAAATTTGTATTTGTACATAAGTTATATTGATAAATATAATCATAATTGCGGGTAGTTTCATAAAGCTTGAAAGTAAATAATAGTTCTTTTTTATATTTTTTTGGTATGTAGTGTCTTGTTCTTGTTTGTTTTGTATTAACACATACCGTTTTTATTAAATAAAATAACTCGATTACATTTTTTCAGTTTTATACAGTTTTTTTCACAATATTGTGAAGTAATCACTTGTCATCTTGTCAATCAAATTTTAAATATTTCCTGCTATGCGTTCCAGTTGTACCAACTTATTTCTTTGTAAAATAAAATAAACTACTTTGAAATTAAAATGACAGACACATCTATCACTGTCAAGGATCTTCTCGTTGGACAGACTATATAAATGATTATGTAATAGAAAAAATTCAGATTTTACATTTTACTAAAATATTATATAAATAAGCGCCTTTCTACAACAACGCCACTGACTCCCAATTGGTAAATTGAGAGTTGCCTACCGGTCGAAAGTCGTTTCAAGTCCTAAACTTTGCTTTATATTAAACTATTTTCTTTATCCTAAATCTTAATAATATAAAAAAGTTTAAATACGATATATTTTTAATTGAATTATAGCTTCATTAAAATTAAAAAAAATACCCGCCTATGATACGGAGAGTGCAGGTGCACTGAAGAAACAAAAGACAGTGTTGCGTTGGACGGCAGAGCCGTCAGGAAACGACCGTTACGACGGAGACAGCCTATCTATCGCTCGTGTCGCACTCGTTAGAGCCAAAAACAATAACACAACAATAACAAGACGTTGTCTGTCCGCATCTTCCAGCTATTTATGAATGAGATGCTCAGTCTATATTTTATTCTAAGTCTATGTCCTTTTTACATAGTATTCGACTTATAATTAAGTAGTATAAGGACTATTTATGGAATATTAAAACCTACTTTATTAAAATGCAGTATTAATATATCAATATATGTGTATAATAAGTAAAAAAATATTGATAATATTAAAGACGTGACAACATAGGCTGGACGAGGAAGGTTTGGTCGGCTGCGGTCGAGTGTACCCAGAAGTAAACATGTGTACAAAAATGATTGTTTGACCGCGTTCAGATGTAAATAGTGTAGTCTATATTTTATTTTAAGTCTCTGGTCAGAACTAAGATCCCTACCAAAGTTATATTTTTTCTTATGGAACTCCCGCTATTTTATTTCATTTTTTGATTCTAGGACATAAAATAAGAGATTTATTATAAGGGTTTAATATGTCTAAAAGCTTTGGTTTTTGAGATATTTAAAGATATTTAAATATGCATGCTATAATAAAAAAAGGTTGTTAACACCCTGTACTTTTCAGAATTAATTCTTGTGCTGACTTTTAAGTCAGAGAAATAAACTTTACTAAAAAATTTGATTGCTTCCTTATTCTGTATACAGGGTTGTCAAAAACTGCTGGTCTATTTTAAATATTTATTTTACATAAAAACTTCGTTATTTCAAATGCAACACTCATTTTTTATAAATAAGTCGAAGCAGATTTCAATGCACTTTCAAACTATATTAGGGTTAGGGTATACCTACCTGGCTTAGATTTTGAATAAAAAACGATTTTTCAATAAAATGGGAACGAAGATGGCTGGTGTCGCCATGACAATTTTCTGAGCCAGATAGTTATAAGAAACTCTAATAGAGTTTGAAAGAGCATTTAAATCTGCTTCGACTTATTTTAAAAAATACAGAGTGTCGCATTTGAAATAACGAAGTTTTTAAGTAAAAGAAATATTTAAAATTGACCAGCAGTTTTTGATACCCCTGTAGACATTTAAGAAAGCAATAAATTTTTTTAGTAAAATTCTGAAAAGTAATGTTCAGAGTGTTAACAAACTTTTGTATTATAACATGCATATTTAAATATCTCTAAATATCTCAAGTGGCCGCCCGCGCCGGCCGGCCGTAGCGCAAGGAGTAGTGTGTCGATCTGCGGTGCGAGAGATGGGATGGTACTGGGTTCGATCCTCAACCAGTACGGTCGCTTTATTTATTTAAATAAAAATATTGATATAACTAAATAGAGCGACCAGCTAGCCGCCACCTCAAGAAAGGCAATGGCAAACCACCTTGAGTATATTTGCCTTGTACAGCCTCTCAAATAGTGCCGTTCGGATTCGGCGATAAACTGTAGGTCCCGTGTACTTGTAAAACACTGATGAAACACATCACAAGTACATGCGAGAGGTAGCCGACGCTCTATATAGGGTATGGCACTGTAAGAAGAAATATCTCAAAAACCAAAGCCATTTAAGACATATTAAACGCTTATAATAAATTCCTTATTTTATGTCCTAGAATCTGTAATAAATGTATGAAATTTCTATTATTTGTTTTAGATATTCAAATATTTTATTAGTTTTTTTCAGTAGTAAAAAATGTAAATAACGTATATTTATACGAATGTGGAATGTTCAATGCTTTGTTTATTTAACATCATGTTATTTTATGAACTTTATCTTAATACGAAGAATAAATGTTAGTGTAATTTTGACCACTCAACTAAGTAGTTTTATTTCAAATAATAAATACTAAATTATCACAGAATCCAAAAATGAAATAAAATACCGGGTGTTCCATAAGAAAAACTACACAATTTGGTAAGGATCTTAGTTCTGACACACCCAGTACGTTTCAAAATAATTTTAAATTATGCACATTTTCTTCTCACATATATCCATAAAAATTTTATTTCTACATCTTCCCATTTTCGTATAATTAACCGAGGCAAATGCGATGCGCCACCCTGTATATTAAGCTAAAACAAATCAATCTAACCGGTTAGTCGATCTTTTATAAGTACATCTCTATGGTCGTGATTAATTTAATTTAAAAATGTAATAACAAACCATAATGTAGGCCTGTGGGTAATAGTAAGCAGTGTGATGCCCATGTCAATTGCTGTCTGGTACATGTTGCTTTCTACATCAATAGAGACTGCTGAGGTGCATTCATCTAATAATGCATATTTTGGTCTAAAAAACGAAAACAAATATTCGTAGTAAACGTAATAAAGCTCTCTGTTCTGTAATTTTACTCACTTGTGATAGAATAACCTTGCAATAGCCATCCTTTGCTTCTCTCCACCAGAGAGAATATCTGTCCAGTCTTTGACCTCGTGGAAAGTATCTCTTTCTACAATATGCTCTAAATATACTAAACGCATTATTTTCCTTAAATCTTCTTCCGAAATTTGTTTATTAATCATGTCAGCGTAAGTATCTGGATAGATGATTTGGTCCCTTAAATTCCCTGGAAAGATACTAATCAATTACGAGTATAGGAGCTACAAAAGAATGACTTGCTAAAAAATACTAGTACACATACCAATGACCATATAGGGCCTTTGAGGTATATAAAACATTGCATTTTTCGGAGTGGTAAGTTCACCGCCATACACTGGCCAAAGACCGCTTAGGATTCTAAATAAGCTGGATTTTCCACACCCATTTGGACCTATAAACACAGAAGATATGTGAATATACAGGGTTAGTCAACCAGTAGCGTGCCGTGTGTAAAAGGGCGGGGTGGGCGAGCTATGTTGAGGTTGCGATTTCGCTAGGGCGCGTCAAGCTTGATTTTCATGCATCCGTTGTCCGACGATACGTTGATACGATATTAATTTTATTGATAGAATTTAAAGACTTTGATTGGTTAGAAAATAACGCAGTTTTTAAATTTATTGCATTTTCATGCCTCCGTTTATCCATGGTTTATCCATGCCTCCGTTATTGACGGGTCCATTGACGGGCTGAAGTAAAATATTTACGGATGAAAAGTGGCGCGAAAACGCTATGACCAATCAGAGCACCGTCGAATCATCGTATCAATGTATAACGGATGCATGAAAATCAAGCTTCACTCAGTCAGAGCTAAGGGCGGAGGTGGCAATCGCCCCCCCCCCCGTGCCCCCTATACGGGACGCCACTGTAGTCAACCGAATTTATAAATAAAAGCTGTCGTTATAAATGGAGTGCTGCATTTTTTCAGTAGGCTTTGTATATCATCTCCAATTAAAAATTAATTTATTTATTTGATTTTGTAATATAGTAAAGAAAAAAATTCACTTGTTCTCACTCGCTCTGTATATACTGTACAAGATACCCTCGTTAGTAAGTATATGTTTTGAAAAAAGCATTATTAGAAAATACTTTACCAATTATAAAATATAAAAATGTGATTTCGTGAAATTTAAATTAATTATTTTAAGAGAACTTTAAATGTGTCTAAAACACAGTAAAAATATTTGAAACTGAATACAGGGTCGCTGTTATGCAGGGTTGGAAAAAATCATGATTTTTTTTATTTTAATAGAAAACATTATTTAAATCGGATTTCCAAATAATTAGGACTTAATTCCAATTAAATTCTTATCATAAATGGTTAAATCGTCATAACTCTGCCCAATACTGACAACATTAAAAATTCTACGGCGCGTGTCATTTTCCCAGACATCGGTCACCAATATATTCTGCAAAAAAAGTCGCTCGCTTCAGATCAAAAGGATTTTTTTGAAATGCCACAAGAGTATTAATTTTTGTCATTTCAACGCCTAGGCATAAAAGTAAATCGCTTTTACGCCTAAGCACAAAAGTACCAAAATATATTATTAAACTGATATTAAGCGTCAATTTCAACGAGTGTACAAATTGTTACTCGATTACTTACAAAGCATTACTTTTTATATTATTTGCAACGTTTGAAATTGATTAAAAAATTATTTGTAATGCTTAATTTGTATAAAAATATAGTATATTCTACTCGGAGTAAAAATGTACTTTTGTGCGTCCCTGTTTACGCTATATAGTCCGTCAAACGTACAACCTCGTCAAAAAAGTATAATTTTTACTCCTTACACAATACATTCAATTTGTTCGGAAATAGTCTTAAGTCGAGAATGAAATTAGTATTATCTATTGTCAAAGTGTAAAATAAAAAGATATAAAACAGCATATTTTCTCACAACGATTTGAAGATATAGTCTAACATCAAAAGAACCTTTTTCTGCACTAGAGGTTGCGAATGGAATCTATTCGAACAACATTTTTTTGTCACTTATACATAAATTTCAAAATAAATCCCTGCCCTTTAGAAGTCTAATGGATTCATACGAAATTACTTCAAAAATCGGTCCAACATGTTAATTGATGAATAGATATGTAATAGGTATATGTGTTATACAAATCATTTTGATATAGTTATATAACATTTACAATTTTTTTCGATTTATTAAAGGTATTTAAACGTTACAAGAGTAAGTGTAACATTTCATTTAACGAATAGATATAGGGTATATATGTTATAGAAATATTTTTATAGTTTTCTAGGACACATTTTTATAACTTTTATAGTTATTTTTCGATTTATTGTAAAGTTTCAAAAAAGTTGATTTTTTGATTTAAATCACACGATTAAAATTAAAAAAATCACTTGATTTAAATCACGATTTAAATCATGATTTAAATCATTTGATTTAAATCATGCCAACCCTGCTGTTATGTATGGAAACGGTTGATTATTAGGTAAAATATAGGAGGTACCGCAAAAAGTTAAATATAAAAGTTATAGGGTTTATAAATATCTATTAGCAGGTAATAAATTTAAGTATATAGGGTCGGTCATAAAGTCGTGGCTCATCAAAGTTTCATTTTTTAAATAGAACCCCCTGTATATTATTGCATATTTCGGTTCTTCCTTCAACTCTAAGCAAAAATCGAAATACAAACAATATACCTCAAACCAACCGTTTCCGAGTTATTGACTTTTGAAAATATCACTTAAAAAATTTGATTTAATTAATCTCGATATGTTCAGTCTCATTTAACGATGCCATTCTGCTGAAACTGTGATACTTAATAATATTTGACATTAGTTCTCAAATTAGCATTTATAGATGTACAAAATGAGAGTATATCAAGTCTGGAAATTACAAAATTTTCGTTTAACATTTCAATTCTTCAATTTATGTACATTGTGTATTACGATTATTGCTTAAAATTGAAGGAACAATTGAAATTGCAATAATATACAGGGGGTTTCAATAAAAAAATAAAATTTGTTGTGACACAACTTTATGACCAACCCTGTATACTTAAATTTACTAGTAGCTAATAGCAATTTAAAAACCCATTACAACAGTATCACAGTTTCGGTAGAATGGCATCATTAAATCAAACCAAACATATCGAAATTAATTAAATTGAATTGTTTAAGTGATATTTTCAAAAGTCAATAACTCCGAAACGGTTGGTTTGAAGTACATTATGTGTATTTCGATTTTTGCTTAGAATTGAAGGAAGAATTGAAATATGTAATAATATACAGGGGGTTGCATTTAAAAAATGAAACTTTGATGTGCGACGACTTTGTGAATGAACCTGTATACTTAAATTTATTACTCGCTAATAGATATTTAAAAATCCCATAACTTTTGCATTTAACTTTTTGCGGTACCTCCTATATTTTACCTAATAATCGACCGTTTCCATACATAAAAGCGACCCTGTATATAAAAAATATGTATATTTGATATAAATTAACCTAACCTAACTGGGCTGATTAACTAGAATTTAAATTTCCCGCTGGGAATTTAGGTGCTAGCTCTGCTGTAAAAAATGTCCAGTTGCTACATTTATTTATTTATTTCCTGACGTTGTCATTCGTTTGGCACTTTAGTTTTGTATTACAAGTTTTTGGTTTAAATAAATAGTGTTGTGATAATTTAAGCTTAAAAATGTTTACTAGCAGACTTTGCAGTCAAACATTGTCCTTTTTAGACCCTCTTTTAGTGCGAAGTATACAAAGTAGCTTTATAGCCGCCAAAAACTTAACGTTATTAGAATATGTTGAACTTTATTAGTAACTTTATTAGAATATGTTGAACGGCAAAGCGGTAGTAATGGCCCTTTATGTTTCTTAAATGCTGTTAAGAAGGTGAGTTTTGTTGATGTAAATAATCACTGTTTATATATTTATAATTAATTTATTTTGGTTTCCTAAAAAATTTTGATTAAAAGAAAATATGTGAAAGTGGGCAACGCTGTGCCGGTCAAGCCTGATCACGTGACTAAAAGTATATTTGATATGAACTATATATGTATGAGGTTTTAAGAAAATTTTTATCTGTAAAAAATTTCTTAAAACCTGTAATCTTTCTTAAAATCTGTAAAAATTTTTATCTGTAAAAATTTTAGGTTGAGAAAATATTTACCAGTTATCAGTAAGTGTTGCCCAGGTTTTAAATGGAAACTTAAAGATGGACACACCACATCACAGTTAGGAGTAACTATTGGAACATCTTTTAAAATAATCTCATTATTAGTAGAAACTATCAATTTTCCTAAAATTAAAAACATCTTTTATTGCAACTTAACAAAAAACAAATTCGTTTATTCTATATTTATTACACTATATCAAACCTTTTGCTATTGGCTGATCTCCTCTAAACTCTACTTCAAAACTACCAGCTTTTTCTTTTTTTGCAACCACTGTTTTATGGTATATACCCTGACTAGCCTCTTCCAGAACAGCAAACATATTAGCAACACGAGCAGTATGCCCGGCTAACTCGACAATATCTGCAAATAATAATGTGAATATAAGTTATGTAAATACCTATTTATTGTTTCACCTTTGTAACTGCTCATTAATCGTTCCACAGCATTGGAACCAGTAACTAATAAATTTTTAGCAGTTGTAAAATAGTGAGTTCTTTCTGATATTGGATCTTGTACCGCCTCCAAATCGTCTGTTTCTAAATTACTATTTCCTTTGCTGGACCCAGAGGCTGGGAGGGCTAATTTCCGTTTGGTTTTCTTGGGAATTACCTGTGGTAAAAAGACTGGAAGAGAAACCACTATCATGCCTGAAAAACAAAATGAAAAACTAATCATTGAAAATATTTACTCTGAATTGAATATTACCGGTTCCTGACCAAACATATTTCATTAAAAATTGTTCTAGCATGACAAACCATAACTTAACGCCAAACATATGTTCTAAATGCTGAGTTAGGATTCTGTATGCGCTTTTTAGATGGCTTTGTTCAACTTTGTGACCACTATAAAAAGCAATTTCTTCGGCATTGGATACTATTCTTCCGTGGACATGTCGAAGATAACCTTTCTTTTCTGCTTCTTGAGCTACTAAGTGACCAAATCTAGGAGACACTAGCCTAGAAAAAAATATTTCTTAACTTCCTTTTACTACAACGCAACCGAAAAATTTAAAAATTATTGTTTAACAAAAATATTTGACATAAAATTTTTTTATTACTCTGTGAAAAATTTTATGTTGTATATAGTCTGTCTGGCAGCGAATGTCTGATTTTAGCATACGACATAAATCCGAGAGAATAACAGAAAAAACATTTTTTTGCATTAAAATGATGGATAACTGCCACTGTCATATATTCTTTCGCATACTTTGACTATCCAATTCGTTGTTTAAGAAAAATGTAAAAGTTCTAGTTCTAGTTTATATACAAATTAATTGGGAAGCTTATTTTTCTACTAATATTTAATACATCCCTATTTTTCTATTGCATTTTTTATGACAAATTGGTGGCAACACCGTGAGGGCTGCGCCACAGCTCGAAGACCGTGGCCAGAGTGGTAGATAGCAAAAAGGCAAAACAACTATTAGAGCACAAAAAGAACCTAGTACGCATAATTGTAGGTGTCATCACTGAAAACTGCCCCACAGGGGTATTTCCAACGAGGACTACTGCAGAGAATGCGGAGAGGAAGAAGAAACCATAGACAAGTCGCTTTAAAACTTTAGGGCAATGTTTTTTGGAGGGACTAGAGGAAGCAGAAGAAGCCAACGTCAGTGACATCGAGAACTTTGCGAAGGGCTGGAAGTGTTTTAACGCAAAGGAAGAATGAGAGGAAGGGTTGGTACAATAATACAGGGGTATAATGGACACAAGGCCTCCGAGTGAGGGATCAAACAGGATCCTAAACCCCAAAAACCTAACCTAACCTTCAGGCCATATTATAAACTTTGTATAGCGTCGATATCGTTTTGACTAACATCTTTGATGACGATCCAACAGAAAATAGCAAAATTCTACTACAAAATACAAGTTCTAGTATATTTTGAAAAAAATAATTATTAACTGTGTACAAATCATTTTATAAACTTCAATCGTCAGGTACATACATATAATCGAAAACTTGTTTCTCCCATGTTCTATTGGTTAAATGAATTTATATTTATTTCGATGAATATATCCTGTTGATATGATTTTAATTGAAATCTTCGGTGTTTCCAACAGAAAATTGAAAAAATCTACTAAAAAATAAGTTTACTAAAAAATATACGCACGAGACATAAAATCCATGACTTTTAGTATGACACTTATTCTGTGTAATTAAAATTGGCAGATCGAATCTGACGACAGATAAGAATCAAATATATCACACCTGGCGTATTAATTGCACTGCTATAAAGTTAATTAATATAAGCTGAATATCGTCCAAATAATTTAAACATTCTTGTTTAAATTTTTAAGGAATAATATTAAGTATAAAATAATATAAAGAAGTACTTCAAAAATTCACAGCTTGAATACATTTCCGAATACAATATCTACTAATAGTATACATGGCTATATTTCTCCAAGGTTAGATAGAACACAAATTAGCTATAATTAACTATTTAGCTTAAATTAGCTATAATGTTATATTTATCCGTATATTATTACATACCGTATGATCGAATAAAAACGGCGTCCAGTTGGCTGGGAAATGACGATCGATGACATTTCCCATATAAATTTACATATAAAATGACAGCGATCTTCATTTCATAGCCATCGCTGACGCCGTTTTTATTCGATCATACGGTACTTATATTAACTATATTACCTTAAAACAAGAGCAGATATCACGACAACTCCACTAATAATAGTTGGGCCTATCAACAGATTGGAAGTCCTGGCTTTAACCAAATTAGCCAAAGCAATAGCCATTAGTAATATGTCGAAACAAGGTTTGGTTATTTGTCCGTACAGGTGAGAAACTGTACTGGCTACAGTTTCTATATCATCTGGAATAACCAAAACAAAATATTTATGAATTAAAAAAATACTTCACCAGTCGACAGCTAAATATAACATTTTAGTTACAGCGCTTTCGGATGCAGCGGAGCGTCCGCGTGTTTTTTCAAGATAGCCGTCGGACGAAATCATCCGGACGGAGCATATGCGACCCATGTGAAATTGTTCATATAAACTCATGGTATTTGCTCGAAGTCGCGGACGGTCCGCTCCATCTGAAAGCGCTATTAAGCATTTTCAGTGCCCTCCAATCAACTCACAACAGTTGCTTAATTTATTTTATAGCATTTCAACTGGTGATAAAAAAGATTCAACCAGAACGGTAGAATCACAGACAAATAATTAGACAAACATTGATATACAAAACGAAGGTACACAAAACATACAAATAGAAAAATGCTAGGTTGTATAACTAACCTAACCTAACCTAACTACCGTGAGTATAATAATTGCCTAGTAAGACCTCTCAAATAGAGCCGTTTGGATTTGACAATAAACTGTAGGCATACTTGTGACTACTGATGACACACATCACAAGTTCATGTAAGAGTTCGCCAACGCTCTGTATAGAGGATGGCACTAAAAGAAGAAGAAAATCTGATGAAAAGAAACAAAATCCTTCTACGAACCACCATTCAATATTTTTTAATTAATTGCTCTCTATAAAAAAAAGAATTTTAGGTTCAAAATATAGTTCGTCAAAATTCACATTAAAAACAATAACATATTATACAGGGTGGTCCGAACTGTATTCCGGAAACTTCGGCAATATATTGTGCAGATAAAAATAAGTAAAAAAAATCATATAAATGTATGTCCTAAAATGCTTAGTTTCGGAGATACAGGGTGTAGAAATTTAATTTTTATTTCGATTTTTTCCAATTAATTTCTGAACCAACGCCAATATTTCGATGAAAATTGGCTGTTTTTGACATGAGAAACTTGATTTTCATGTCATTATGACTCCTACTTGTAGAGGGCGCCACCTGCATATTTTTTAACTGATTTGAAGAGTAATAACTTTTCGTCCGCACCTGTATAAAATTACTAAGTAAAAAAATATACATTTACGACGTTTTTTACGTGAAAAAGGTCTCTTGGTGAAAATCGCTATGAGTAATGGTTTTCGAGATATTTGGAATCGAAATTATCAATACCTGTCATCATTGACATAAATTAAACATGTTGACTAAATAGTTATTAGACTGAAATCATAAATTTGAAGTGCTTTTGTGCCAAAAGTTCAACAGAAACTGTTTTATCATCATTTTTTGCAGAAAAATTTATGATTAATTTAAAAAAATAAAAATTTCCCAAATTTATTATTTTCAGTGAAATAACTATCTACTCAACGTGTTTATTTTTCGTCAATAATGAAATGTTCTATTTCCATTCTAAATATCTTGAGAACGGTTGCTCGTAGCGATTTTTACCAAGAGACATTTTTTACGTAAAAAATCACAGAGATGTATATTTTTTCGCTCGGTAGTTTTATACAGGTACGGATAAAAAGTTCGTACGCTTCAAAACAGTTAAAACACATCTAGGTAGCGACCTCTACTAGTAGGAGTCATATTGACACCGAAATCAAATTTATCATGTCAAAAAACTCCCAGACACGAATTTTCATCCAAATATTGGGGTTACTTCAGAAATTATTTGGAAAAAATCGAAATAAAAATGAAACTTCTACACCTTGTATCTCCGAAATTAACCATTTTAGAACATACATTTATAAGAACTTTTTTACTTATTTTTATCTGCAGAATATGTTGCCGAAGTTTCCGGAATACAATTCGGGTCACCCTGTATATAATTATATAAACAAAAAACAATATATAGGATGTCCCGTCTAAAAAAAAAGTATCACGCAAGGCGTTTTCTTTCATGAGCTTTTCTGTGACTGAAAAGCCCGATCGTGATGTTATTTGCCTACCGCACTCCGGACATTTAAAAATCTCATTGCTTTGTTACCTCTTTACTTTTTGGTTGTCGCTGTTAACTGAGTTTACAATTTTTCTCCATTGAGTTCTATTGTGAACTGCTTCTTCCCAATGATTCTGCATGTTAATCCCCTTTAAGTTTTCGTGGAAAATGTCCTTGTACCTTTTGAGTTGTCCACCCGGCCTCCTCTTACCGTGTACAAGCTCACCGTAAAGCAGAGATTTTGGTATGCGGGTTTCTTGCATTCTGCACACGTGACCAGCCCATCTTAAGCGGGATTTTGTAACCATGACTTAAATACTCTCGCAGTTAGCTTTTTCAAGGACCGATACGTTTGAGATATGATGGAACAACCGGATTCTTAAGAGTTGTCTGAGGTGTCTCTGTTGCAACTTGTTTAATGCCTTCATGTGTCGGCGGTACGGCACCCAGGTTTCGCTCCCATATAACATGGTGGGGATTATAATTGCTCGGTACACTGCTAGTTTCGTTTTTGTACTCAAGTCATGATTGTAGAAAACCCTGTCTTTTAATTTCCAGAATGCCCTTGAGGCACTGCTAATCCGGCGCTGAATTTCAGAGTCGATATTTGCCTTTTCCGAAATCAAACTGCCGAGGTAATTAAATTCCGGTACATATTCCAATAGTTCATCTCCGATTTTTACAGCATTGTTATGATCTTCCGGGGGAGTGCACATGATTTTGGTCTTGTCGATGTTTAGCTTAAGGCCCAAAGCCTCGTATGCCCAGGTATATGTGTTCAACATTTCTTGTAATTGTTGTAACGTGTTTGCAACTAGAGCGCAGTCATCAGCGTATTGAAGTTCTGTGATGAATTTCGTACGTGTTTTTGCCCTCAGTCTTTTTATGTTGAATAGACCACCGTTATATCTGTATCTAATGCCCAATCCCCTCTCCTGCAGTTTGCTGTCCACTATAATGGAGAGCGCTGCCATGAATATGTTGAATAAGAGAGGCGCTAAGACACATCCCTGCCTAACTCCTGTATTAGTCAGGAAGGGATCGCTCAGTGATCCATGATGTGACACTCTTGACTGGTTGTTGTTATGGACGCTTTTACACACTGTAAGAAATTTGTTGGGTACACCGAACTTTTTCATAATTGCCCAAAGTGCATCTCTGTTCACAGAGTCGAAGGCTTTTGTTAGATCGATGAATGCAACATAAAGTTTAGCTGCTGCTCTTTTACTTTTTCCTGTAATTGGCGGATGGAAAATATGGAATCGACGGTGCCACGATTGGTGCGAAAACCCGTTTGCGATTCTGGAAGGATTTTTTTTTATATGTGGGTGAAGGCGATTTGACATAATTTTTGTAAGAATTTTTCCTCCGATAGCCAATAGTGAAATTCAACGGTAATTTCCGCAGTCTGATGCACTTCCTTTGTTCTTAAATATATTCACTATATTCGCGTTGCAAAAGTCCTGAGGTACCTCTCCGCTTTCCCATATGACATCGAAGAGAGCCTTAAGATGACCAATAAGTTCTTTACTTGCACACTTATAGATTTCCGCCGGGATCGCGTCACAGCCAGTAGTGAACACGCTGTTCCAGAGAGTTGGTTTGGTTTGATTTTGGCAAAAGATATATTAAAGAGCCAGCTTTCTTAAGTCTTATATGGCAGAATAGGATTTATTAAGATGGTAACTTGGAAAAAAGTGTTGGAGAGCTAATTATTGTTTTGATTGGCTCATTTGACGCGAAAGAGAAGTTTTCTAGGTTTCCATGGTTGCTCGACCGCAGGTGCCGCTCAATGCATTAAATTGACGTTCGATCATCCATTCACATGGAAAACATCATTCAAAATTTAAAAAATCAACAAAAGTTGCATCAGTATTGCAGGGCATCAAATTTATATATAAAATTATAATACTGTATGATCGAAATAAAAAAACGGCGTCAGCGATGGCTATAAAATGAAAATCGCTGTCATTTTATATGTAAAATTATATGGGAAATGGCATCGATCGTCATCTTCGAGCCAACTGGACGCCATTTTTTTGATCAGACGGCAGTAATAAAAATAACAATATAAAATTTACAATTTTGCATTTTCAGCAAAGTGAATAAATATCACCATTTTTCGATTTTAGCCATTTGTGTATTTGTGAAATATTTGCGAAAACGCGACGTTTCGGGAACTATAAGCAAAAATCTTAAAGTCAGCTTTTTCGGCGCTTTTTTCCAGGCGATCCCTCTAATTTGATTGGCCTAAAAGGAATCAGGTACTAATATTTAAAAATGCAGTTAACGCCAAGAGGAGCAAATTCTTACATTAAGAACAGTTAAGGCAATTAATAACATTTTGTCATAATTTTGAATTATAAGGTGAGTTTATATGCATCCGTAATGCGTCGTCCGTTGTTCCGTCACTTGAATCATAATTAAGTTGCATAAAATCAACGACGCATTACGGATGCATGTAAACCTACCTTTATGCCTATTTTTAGGAAGACAGAAAATAGATACCTGTCAATCTCTGAGCACAGTTGTCTAATCTTCCATCTAGAACGGTCACCCGATAGTAACTTTGTGATTTAAAATATAGTTTATAGGAATGTTCAACTAATCTTGTTCGGAAACTCAGTGCTATTCTGCTCTCTAAATACCTGGAACAAAAAAAAGTATGTTTTAAAATGTTATATACAAAAAAATACTCAAATAATGGCTCTTTTTATACGATTCACTATATTTTAAAAACGAAAATCTAAATGAAAAACATACAAGTTCATTACAAATGTGCGGTCACGTTATTTAAATAAATGGAACAACAGAAATATAATAATTATTTCCTTATTATTTCAAAGTTTCAACAATTATTATTAGTCTATTGGAAAATAATTTTAACTATTTAACGAAACCAAAATATTCCAAATAATTAAAATTCCGACAGGAAATGTCAAAGTACTATGCAAGATTGCCTTTCGCATTTACAAATTTACACTTATTTTTTTTAAATGCTACTTCCATCTGAATATAAATTTAACAATATCTACCTCAAGGATTAATGTAGAATTTTAAAGAGCTAAATAAATCTTTAAAAGTACTTTATTTTCTAAAAGCTCTAAAATATATCCATCTCATACAACTATTATACATATGTTTATCCAGTGAAACCATAATACCATACGATTGAGAAAAATGACATCAAGGATGGCTTTGAAATAAAAATTGGTGTCATTTTGCATCTAAAATTATATGGGGAATAAGGAGGAAGTCAAATATCTAAGAATAACCCTGGACAGTAAAGTTCTATGGAACATACATATTAAGAACATTACCAGCAAAGCCACAAGAGTTCTCATGTTATGCAGGGAAATAGATATGCTGGAGGGAAATAGATATGCTGGAGGGAAATAGATGGGGCTGCACCCCTAACATTTTACGCTGGAAGTATATCATCATAATACGACCCATGATTACTTATGGAGCAGTTCCGTGGTACACAAAACTAAAGCAACCTGCGGCTGGCTAAACCTGTGCAAAGTCCAGAAAGTGGCATGCAGTTTTACAGGTCATTCTAGACTTAACACCACCGCACATTATCATCGGTAGATATGCCAACGCGACAGTGATTAGAATGGTCACTGGCGGAATCAGTACTGGGAGAATTGTCAGCTCAGGAGCTTGGAACAAAAGAAAATACCACTCCTCCAACTCCCAGTGGATGACTTTTTTGGTTGTTTCTATAGGGTATGTAGGAAACCGTAAGAGATATTCAAATTTTGGTACTGCAGTTTCGGGTTCTTTTTTTGAAAAAATAACAATGGCGCAAACGAATCGCGGCTATCTTGATCCGTTTCGAAGCTACAGGGGGAATCTCAATTTTGTACTTTTTGAAGATGTTCGATAGTTTGTTTATTTCAGCAACCAAGAAAAAATTAATTATATATTCTAAAGGCACTTTTCTGTATAGCAGCGGCGTAGTCCGACTTTTTTCGAAAAAAAATATTTTTTTTTGATATGATACTTATGTTTTTTTAAATAGAACCCCCTGTATATTTTTAAATTTCCTGATTCAGCTTGGCATGGGTTTTTCGAAAATATATAACACTCTATATTTATTTTCGCTATTAACCTCAACATTTCAAATTTTTCTTAAAATATCCAGTTAGTAGTAGGCCGCGCCGAGTAACAAAGTAAACGGTTGTCATGTGTTTCTCCAAGTTGTATAGCTCTAAGTAGTATTGAGCAATAAAAAGAATTGAAAGAGATAAACGTTTGCTAGGCAGTTAATAGACCATACCATAACTTGATATATTGATGCTTCCAAAACCAATGCAGGAACAGGGAGTGTCTGGGTCAAGAACTAAATACTCCGAACCAATGGGCACCTACCCGAGTATCCTACAGGCAAAAATCTACACTACCGAAAGATGCGTAACTTTAGATTAGATGGGAACTTTCGGAAACAAGAAATAGATATCTTATCTTATCTTATGACACTACGATGATCTTTGATGCAATGAATGCAGAATTAATGAGAGTTAAAATTAAAAGAACATGTGATATATTGGTAGAATATTTTTCGTCAATGGGTTTATCTATGAATAAATCTAAAACGCAGTGTGTAGCTTTTGGTAACAGAGCAGATAATGCGTTTACACTTCAATATAAAAATGATGAAATTATTACAACTAAGAACGTTTCTCTGCTTGGTGTTGTCAGTGACAGCAGATTGGATTGGAAAGCGCACGTAGATGGTGTTGCAAAGGGGGTATCAAGACACGGCTTTGCTTTGAGGATTGTCTTGGAGAATGTGGACGAAGAAGCTGCATTGACAGCTTATTATGCTTTTGTGCAATCTAAAATGAGATATGGCTTGGTAATTTGGGGAAATTGTACTGATATAGGTAGAATCTTTCTGCTACAAAAAAAGATGTATTCGTAATATATTTAGGATGAGCCATTTAGAAAGTTGCAAGAGTGTTTTTGTAGAGAAGGGTATATTGACGCTGACAGGCATGTATGTTTACGATGCCTATATGTTTGTGATCGGTAATAGAGATCTCTTTGCAGGCTTTGTTAGTGATCACAGGTATGATACCAGAAATAGACATAATCTTATACCTGGGAAATGCAATTTTACTTATATACAAAAGAATGCTGAGTATTCGATTATAAAAATATTTAATAGTTTCCCCGAAGAGTTGCAGGCCATGTCTCATGGAAAGATAAGAACTGTACTAAAAGATTATTTAATCAAAAAGGCATACTATAGTTTGGCCGATTTTTTTTCCGATTCCCATATCTCACTTTTTAGTGAGCATGTTTATTGTTTGTAAAAATTGTAATGTAGTGTGGACTTTTGAGTTAGTTGCAACTACTGTAGTATAGTATATACTATAAAATATATAGTACGGTTGGAAGGACTATTATTTAAAATGAACAATGATTTTCGAAACATACATTTTATATTTTTATGTTGTCGAGTGTTATTCTAGTTTTATTCTTATTTAAGTGTATCTATGTGTGTTTTATATTAAGTCTTAAGTTTTGTTTTTTTGCTATTTTTACAATGTTCCATGCCTGCGGGCTCTTGTAACTTTTGTTAATCGGAAAAAATAAATGAATATCTATCTATCTACCTATCTATCTATCTGATAGTAAAGCAACGTTAAAAGTGATCAACTAACCATCAATTAATTCGAAGTTGGTCCAACTGATTGCAAAGAAAACAAGTCCTCCTACTCTGGGCGCCAGCTCACCAAGGGATAGAAGGTAATGAGAAATCATTCATTTTCAGGGCTTACGACCGAGAAAAATCAAGGATTTTCCTGGTAAGTAAGAACAATCTTCGGATTGTCACGGGGTTTTTAACAGGACACTGTCTCCTTAATGAACACCTCAGTAGACTGAAGCTAAGAAAAAAACGGCAGATGTAGATTCTGTCGGGATGATGGGAAAACACCAGAGCATTACCTGCAACATTTACGTCACCATCATTAAGTGCGCCAAGACGACAACCATTCGTGCTCTAAATTTAGGTACGACTGATATCGGAGATGGAGAACTACCCTCTGTAAAATCGTCTCAAATACTGGCTTTTGAAGGGGCTGTATGAAGAGTTATAACTCAAGGAATGGGGGGAGGCACAATAGATCTGTCAGATCGCGGTGATTAACCCCCCTCCCACTCATGCTACATTCTACATGTGGAATGTAAAAAAGGCAAATATCAGTAAGCGCAAATAAGAAAGATTTGTAATATCAGGAACACTAAGGATTTGTAATATCAGGAAAAATGTAACAGTAACAATATAAAGATTTAATCAAATATCAATGCTAAATTATTTTAAAATACTTAAAATGTAAATGTTAAATTGAAGAAATTTACCGATAGATATTAGCATTGATAATTATGAATTTAAATTGCTAATCTAAAATTAGAAACAGCTGGAGATGTAACAACAGTAGGTAATGGAAAAATACCTTAATGTGTATTGCTATTGTTTATGAAATTTCAAGGTTTAAATTACACAAAAACTCACTGAAAGTAGTTTTCAGGCCAAAGACATTCGTTTAAAAATACAATGTATGAAAGTCATTTTTTAAATCGTTATTATTTGTATGATGGTTGAATCAGAGTTAATAAGTTAATAAATTGGTGTCATTTTGCATGTAATAAGATAATAAAATAAAGATAATCCCCTAAAATAGATCGAACAGTGAAGATTATTCTATTATAAGAGTGGTCCGAATTGTATTCCGGAAACTCCAGCAGCATATTCTGCAGATAAATAATATAAGTTCAAAAGTTCGTATAAATGTATGTCCAAAAATGCTTAGTTTTGGAGATACAGGGTGTAGAAATTTCATTTTTATTTCGATTTTTTCCAAATAATTTCTGAAGTAAGGTCAATATTTTGATGAAAATTGTTGTCTGGGAGTTTTTTGATATGAGAAATTTAATTTTGATGTCAATATGACGCTTATTTGTATGGGGCGCCACCTACATGTGTTTTAACTGTTTCGAAAGGTAATAACTTTTCGTACGTACCTGTATAAAACTACTGATTGAAAAAATATACATTTCCGTGACTTTTTACTTAAAAAAGGTCTCTTGGGAAATATCGCTACGAGTAATGGTACTCGAGATATTTGGAATCAAAATTATCAATACCTGTCACCATTGACATAAATTAAACATGTTGACTAAATAGTTATTAGAGTGAAACCATAAATTTTAAATGTTTTTGATGGAAAATTGAAAATTTGAAAAGTTCAACAGAAACTGTTGTATCATCATTTCTTCGCAGAAAAATTTATTATTAATTTAAAAAAATCAAAATTTCAGTCAAATAACTATCTACTCAGCGTGTTTATTTTTTGTCAATAATGACATGTATTGACTATTTCTATTCTAAATATATTGGGAACGGTTATCGTAGCGAGTTTTACCAAGAGATATCTTTTACGTAAAAAATGCCGTAAATGTATATTTTTTTACTTAATAGTTTTATACAGGTACGGACGAAAAGTTATTACTCTTCAAAATAGTTGAAACACACGTAGGTGGTGCCCTCTACAAATGGGAGTCATATTGACATCAAAATCAAATTTTTCATGTCAAAAAATTATCAGACTCAAATTTTCATCCAAATATTGACGTTACTTCAGAAATTATTTCGAAAAAATCGGAATAAAAATGAAACTTCTACACCCTGTATTTCCGAAACTAAGCATTTTAGGACCTACATTTATACGAACTTTTTTACCTATTTTTATCTGCAGAATATGCTGCTGAAGTTTCCGGTATACAGTTCGGACAATCCTGTATATTTCATACTGTCCGGTTTATTGTTTCTTATATTAGCAATTTGCCACTGGATTTTTTTTTATTTGTTAATAGCACCTTCTCGAGCACATTACTACAGTGACATTACATTATCGGAGCCCATTATAAGCCAAAACAAAAAATTCTTTCGATTATAATCCTAAGAACAGTGAAATAAAATATCCTTTACCTGGGGTAAATACTCAAAAAAAAATTCCTCAAACACATCCTAGTATATAGTTTATTTTGGCACTTATACAAAATTCCTAAGTTTTTTTATTATAGCTGTATTCTTTTTATCTACAGGAAATCTTAGTATATCTCATTACTAAGATATAGTAAGATAAGACAAATTGAGATCAGTAAAGATGAATAAAAAGTAAAAAGAACAAAGTAAAGTAAAGATTTCAGTTAACGTCTCCTTTTTGCTGCCAGGGCTAATCTGGACGGGGCCTACTTTGTTTACGCGGAATCAGAACCGCGGTCCTCGGCCATATCATGGTCAATGGCCTACCGACTTGGCAAGTGTCTAAATCGACTCTTACTCACGAGATATCCGATCTCATCCGGCCTCGAACCGGCGTGAAAGAGCAGTGTGTGTCAATAAATTTTACATTTTTGCCTTTTTTTGGATAACAGCACGATACAGAGTTTCGAACCGGTCACCCGTCCATCCACTAGTATCGCCTTACGTCGCTTAACTTCGGTGTTCTAATGGGAACCGGTGATTCGACGTAGCTAGGCCGTTGCCCTGTAAAAAGAAGAGTTCGATAATTGAAACTCTCAAATAGAAGAAATCGCAAGTCGCAGCAAAATCGTAAATCGCAACTATAGTAATATTAGTTGCCTAAATTGAAACTCGCAAATAGAAGAAATCGCAGTCTCAGTTTCCTATGAGAGCCAATCGCAGGTTGCGATCGCGATTTTAAAATCGCTGCGATTGAATCGCAGTTTGCGATTTGTTGCTTATCTCTAGTTGTAACTAAGAAAAAAAATAAAAGTTTTGAAAAATGTCTCATTTTTACACCACTTGACCCTAAAGTTTAAATTTATTGAAAACGAAACGGGCAAAATCAATTATCTTTTACCGTCTCTGATATGCAAATTGCTAATTTAAGAAAGAATGTAACGGACAGTATGAAATAAATAATTTTACTATGCTGTTAAACTAACGATAGGAATACCGCCCGCATAATTACAGAAATTTATTTATTTGCTATTCTGAAACATCCAAAATTATACAATAGATTTGTATACAATTAAGGTATTCTATAATAACAGAAGTATTGAAACATCGTATATCCTCTACCCCTCAATATAGTATTGAGATTGCTCAATCCTTTTTATTGAAAAAGGATTAGAAGAGAGAAACGTCTGCTTATTAAAAGACCATACCATAACTTGGTATACTGATGTTTCCAAAAACAATGCGGGAACAGGGATCGGAGTACTTGGGTCGAGAACTAAATACTCCGAACCAATGGGCACCTACCCTAGCATCCTACAGGCAGAAATCTACGCTATCGAAAGATGCTTAGAACTATTGCGATGCGGAAACAAGAAATAGCCATCTTATCTGATAGTCAAGCAGCGTTAAAACCGATCAACTCAGTATCAATCAATTCGAAATTGGTCAAACAATGCATAGAGAAGGTGAATAAATTAGGCAAAGAAAACAAAGTCCTCCTACTCTGGGTGCCTGCTCACCAAGGGATAGAAGGCAATAAAAAAGCAAATGATCCAGCCAGAAAAGGAGCGAACACTCCACTAACTGGATCAGAACCGTTCTGCTTCCCAAGTGGTAACCAACTAAAAGCGGAACTCAAGAATTTGGAAGACTTCATCGGCCACATAGAATGGGAATCTTGCTACGGTCTACGACACTCGAAGAAGTTTCTGAGGGCTTACAACCAAGAAAAATCAAAGTTCTTCCTGGATTTGAGTAAGAACAATCTTCGGATTGTCACGGAGTTTTTAACAGGAGACTGTCTCCTCAATGGAACACCTCAGTAGATTGAAACTAAGAAAAAACGGCGAATGCAGATTCTGTGGGGAGAATGGGGAAACACCAAAACACCTCATCACTGAGTGCGCAGGGGCGACAACCAGTCGTACCACGATCTTTGGTACGATTTATATTGGAGATGGAGAACTACCCTCTGTTAAACCGTCCCAGATACTGGCTTTTGTCAAAGCCCTGGGACTGTATGATGAGTTATAACTCAAGAAAGGGTTACACAATAGATCTGTAAGGTTGCAGTGGTTAACCCCCCCTCCCACTCATTCTAAATTCTATATCCTCTAGCCGCTTACAACTTACAATTAAATATTTCTTACCTTATCATACTATTAATAAACGTCGCTGGAATAGCCACCGCGAACCACTTCATCAGCTGCTTAATAAAGTTGTGAGGGTCTTTCCGCACTATATATTTAACTATAGCGCCTTCCAAGTTCGCCACATAGATACTGAGGATAGTCCTTAAGAACAGGGATAACGTGTGGCCGCTTAAAAGGGCAGTTTCCGTGCAAAATGGACTGGGAATCATGATCCGAACCAATTTGATAAATTGCAAGATAAAAGCTAGATTAAAGTTAGGGATGTTTCTCAAATAGTTTCGCTTGGATATCACTGCTTTCGTCTTGGCATCTCCGTTTTGAATCATTCCATTCTTCGCAAGTCCCCGATTTTTACCACTAACGCTATTCGAAATGACTAGATTATTTTTCAAGCTGTCCGCTTCTTTGTTGGGTTTAAATAAATAATTTTCAAACGCAGGATAGCCTATTTTGTAGGCGTACGTTATTAAAGCTGCTCCGATCACAATTGTGGATATATTTGACTGGTTTTGATTGAACACTTCTTCTCCTTTCTGGAGAAATTTCGATATTACGGAAGGCATGATTCCTGATTATTCTAGGGTTAATAAATATACTGTGATGTTTCTTTTGTGATGTTTCGGTTATTCTTGACTATCTTAACAAGTCATGGGTGGCGATATTTCTCTATTTGTACCATCAAGACAAAGCCTTCCTGGATCTTGGAGCCTCATTGTGTATGGTGTTGAATGTTCAGTGGTCTGTAAAAGAAAAAAATACATAAATTAAAAATATAGAAAACATGGAAAGTTCAAAATAATTGTTAAATCTAATTACATTAATGAACGTATAATACGTGTAATATTGAAATAGTAGATTAGAAATTGATCTCAGATAGAAACACTGTATCTACTATACATATTTAATATACAGGGTAGTCCGAACTGTATTCCGGAAACTTCGAAAGCATATTCTGCAGATAAAAATAAGTAAAAAAGTTCATTAAATGTATGTTCGAAAATGTTTACTTTCGGAGATACAGGGTGTGGAAGTTTCATTTTTATTACGATTTTTTTCTAATAACTTCTGAAGTAACGTCAATATTTGGATTAAAATTGGTGTCTGGGAGTTTTTTGACATGAGAAATTTGATATTGATGTCAAAATATCTCGTATTTGTAGGTAGCGCCACCTACATGTGTTTTAACTCTTTTAAAGAGTAATAACTTTTCGTCCGTACCTGTATAAATCTACTGAGTGAAAAATATATATTTCCGTGACTTTCTACGTAAAAAATGTCTCTTAGTAAAAATCGCTGCGAGCAACTGTTCTGAAGATATTTAAAACGGAAATAGTCAATACATGTCATAATTGACCAAAAATAAACACGTTGAGTAGATAGTTATTTAACAGAAAAAATAAATTTGGGAAATTTTTATTTTTTTATATTAATCATAAATTTTACTGCGAAAAAATGATGATAAAACAGTTTCTGTTGAACTTTTGGCACAAAAACATTTAAAATTTATGATTTGAGTCTAATAACTTTTTAGTCAACATGACAGGTATTGATAACTTCGATTCGTAGCGACTCGTAGCGATTTTTACCAAGAGACTTTTTTTACGTAGAAAATGTCGCAAATAAATGTATATTTTTTACTAGGAAGTTTAATACAGGTACCGACGAAAAGTTATTAATGTTCAAACAAGTTAGAAAATATGTAGGTGGCGTCCTCTATAAGTAGGAGTCATATTGACATCAAAGTCATACATTTATACGAACTTTTTTACTTATTTTTATCTGCAGAATATGCTGCCGAAGTTTCCGGAATACAGTTCAGACCACCCTGTATAAAATACAAATATTGCCATGGATAAAGCATGTACTTCGTCATATTAAAAAAAAAGAATGCTTATTTGTTGAATTGAACAAAATATTTTTAAGTACAAAAATATATTTAATTGTATATTCTCATCAAGGTGTACCTTTATGGCCAACCTGAGGTTACTTTAAAATTCAGCAAGCGTCTCTTTCTGAAAACTGAATGACGCACATTCGGGTCAAGTTCGACATGTTTCATTAAATAAACTTGCTACTAAATTAATCTGAAATTTTGTGCAAATAATTTAACATTGTTTGTTATATTTAGCATCATGTAAATTTCTCAATTTGAGAGTTAAATCAAAACATATTTCTAACGACCATAGAGAGACTGCATTTTCATAACTCCGTGTATAATGCTTATAACAGGTATCGGCAACCTTTTGCTATATGAGGGCCACCATATTTTCTAGAAAATATAAGGGAGGCCTCATTTGCTCATACATCCAGAAAAAATAATTATTCGGATCGACCATCAGGGCGCAGAAAAATACGCATAAAACAGATTTTTTTAAATAATATTTTTACCATTACATTTCAAAACATATTAAAACTAATACGATTTTTGTGGCTGTTGTTGTTGCTTCATTTTCTTATACAGGGTGAGTCTTAAATAAGTGCAAGTAAATATTTTCAGGGCTGGTAGATCTCTATAAAAAAACATATTTTCTCTTTACCGTTTTTCAAATAAAACTCCAAAATAACTTTGGAAATTACCAAAAAAATTGCTTTTTTGCTTAAATTTTGAGAACCGCCGGATCTTTTGTGGGTTTTCTTTCTTGTAAATTTAATTTACTAGGTATGTATAATTTAATCTACTAGCTATGTTGTCATATTATGAGGATATTATATTTTTTTATTAAAATTTAATTATATTTTTTATTAAAATTTTTATTTTATCAAAATTTAAAAAAAATCCAAAATTTAAAAAAAAATCCAAATTTATATTTTTTTTTCGAAAAAAAAATCATAGACGTGTTTTGTGGGGTCGAAATATACTACTCCTAAAAATATTTACACTTATTTAAGACCCTGTATAGTGTTTGTATATTGGCTTTCTCACTTAGAAATAGATACGCAGTATCGCGTCTGAATATTTAGCTGCATAGATTAGCAGTTTTCTTTAAATTATGTAAAGTTATCTAAAAGGAAGCAAAAAATGCAATAATATACAGGGGTACGGTAAGTTTCATTTAAAAAAATCATCCCAATCCACTCACACTTTTTGAGCCACCCTATAGAAGTTAAAATATTTTCCTGAAATACATCCTCGTACATATTTTAGCTTTGCACTTAAACAAAATTCTCAAGTTTTTTATTCTAGAAGCTACAAATGTCCGATGCACTATTGCCTGTGAGCTTTAAAATACATGAAAAATTTTAAGTGTCATTTTATTATTGTTTTTCGTGTCCGTAATCATCTGCTGATGATGCTAACATGGTTAGCGAAACGCGCGTCCAGTGTAAAAGTAAAAGTGTTTTGGTGTATTGTGGTGATTTAGTGTTTTTATTTAACTTTGAAACCTGGGTCAAAGAAAAACATTTTGAGAATTTCATAGAAAAGGTATTGCTAGCCTATTTCCTGATATTAGCCACTACCTTAAAACCGTCAACTCTGTGAAGTAAATATTCGATGCTCCGCACCGTGATTTACCCGAACAGAAACGTAGATATTAGCAAATTCACAAACCTTATTGCATTTTTAAAAAGAAAAGCTTCCGGATATCAGGCAAAGAAATCAAAAGTATTTACAAAACTGGAAATAGAGCGCTTTATGAAAGAAGCCGATGACAAAGAATTCCTGTTAGCTAAAGTTGTCTTAATCGTTGGAGTATTTGGAGCATATAGGAGGGAAGAAATCACGTTTTTGGCCGTAGATGCCATTAAAGATTGTCAGTCATTTATTTGTGTGAAGATTCCGAATACAAAAACTCATTTTCCAAGAGTGTTTAGGATTACTGAGGGACCAATAGATGGTATCAATTTCTTACATGTATTTCGTAAGTACGTAAAACTTTGTATAACCTAACCAACTCAATGTGACACATCATTTTTCTTGACGTATTGAAAAAATCAATGCTGTACCCTGCCAGTTTTGAATCAATACAATTGGGGATATGCCAAAAAAGACAACGGAATTTTTTTGACTCTCCAGTGTCATTGAATACACTGGTCATTGTTCCTGGCGCAGCTCTGCAACAATGCTGGCAGGTTCAGGAGTGGACATAACAGTTTTAAAGCGACGTGGAGTTTTAAAGGAAGTGTATTATATTTATTCTATTTCGGTAGTAAAACAGTTTTATTCCAACAACCAAGGTACAATAGGGACTTGATATGTGAGGAACACACAACATAATCTCTTACTTTTGTAATTTGGTATAAAGTACAGTAATGGTTGTAATACTCAAATGTATTTTATGTGAAACAAAAATTAAAAAAAATGTTAGAACATTTGCTTTGTTATTGGACCGGCATTATTTAAAACAGATTAAGTAAATAAACATAATAAGTTTAAATAATAAATGGTATTTAATGAATTTAACAATTAATATATTTTTAATTAACAACAAAATTATTGTAAAAACGTGTGGACTATTTACATTTATGAAAATGAGTGTTATTAGAACAAAATATTAATATGTAATCTTTCTATCTTTTAAACGCGGTTACTTTATAATTAGTACGAAATTCAACGTTCAAGTGATACTAATTAAGATTTTAGTATGCGTGTTAACCTTTTAGACCTAGATTAAATTCACTGTTTTTTTCCATAGATTGAAAATGTAAAAATAATATTTTTTGAGAAACGACTTTGACATAAATGTTATCGGCTTTCTTCATAATAAATAAAAAAATCTACATAATGCTAATGTTTATCTGTGTGTCGTCTCTACTGAAGTAACGACTTGCTCTAGAAAGTTGCTTTTTTTACTAAAAGATAGCTAATAGGCTCTTCTAAAAACCGTCGTCGCCGGATTTTTTGTTTTTCATTTAATTAAAAAAAAAGTATTGTTTTCCCTGATGTCGTGGCGGACGCGCCAGGCTTCAACTAGTAGTAAGATAAAAATCTTATACGTGTGTTGCATCGTCGACCTAATATAGAAAATCGCATGTAAGTTTTCCTCATTTTATTTACGAGAGGTGTTTATTTGAAACTTTTTACAGAACTCTATGAAGCATCCTGTTCATTTTGAATATAGATAGTACAGGGTGGCGCCTCTCATACGCCGCGGAAGCTCCAAGGAGAACGGTAGTTTATATCGAAATGAAATTTTGGCAGCACATGTAGGTTGACTGAAAGCATTTTATAAAAATATATAGAATTATACAGGGTGTCCCCAAAAAAAGTTACAGATCAAAGTTATGGTTTTTCTAATGGAACACCCTATATATTAATTGATTTTCGGATTCTAGGAAAAAAATAAAGGTGAGTTTTATTAAAGAAGGATATACCTAAAATCTAAGGATTTTGACATATTTCACATTTTGAAAAAATGAAGAGTAAATTTTAAATTTCGATAACAGCTACCTAAATTTTAGTTGACCTTGTATAGCCTGATATTTAATTACAGTAACCATTGTATGTTAAACCAAATTGAAATTTGACCAGAAAAGTTATACAGGGTGAGACAAAATTAATATGGAACATTAGTCACATTTAAAAGCAAGTTACTCCTTTATTTTAAATGGAACGCCCAGTATATTTTTCCGGTGTTCAATGGAAAATTTATATATCTTCAAAATATTATTAAGGTTGCCTACCCCACAGACAAAAATTTTCCTAGATATTTTAATTTTTATGATTTTGCGTCAGTAGATCTTTATTATTTGAAAAAATCTAGGTGGCTGTGTGATATACCTTTCGTTATTTTAACAAAAA